GCGGGGCCGGGGCGGGCCGGGGGCCGAGGGACCCGAGTGACCGACCCCGTCCCCGCAGCCCGACGTCGAGGGCGCCTTCCGCCGCGGCCCCGGCCTGAACCTGACCAGCGGCCAGTACACGGCGCCCGTGGGCGGCTTCTATGCCTTCGCCGCCGCGCTGCACGTGGGTGAGGCCCGCCGCCGGGGAGGGACCCCGCAGCCAGGCCCCGCCCCGAAGGGAGCCGGCCCCTGGTCCCCGGCCCTGTCCCTCGCTCCGCCCGGGACCCCGCCCCCGTCCCGGGACACGCCCCGCACGGGACCACCGGGACCACGCTTCCGGGACCACGCCGGTCCCACCCCTCCCGGGACCCCGCCCCGCAGTGACCCCGACCCCGCCCCGGGACCACGTCCCAGTCCCCGCCCCCGGGATCAAGCCAGCCGAACTCCGCCCCGTGACCCCGCGTCCGCGACCCCGCCCCCCGCAGCGCTGGTGGAGCCGGCGAGACGGGGACCGCTGCGCGCCCGGGACCGCCTGCGCCTGCTCATCTGCATCCAGTCCCGGTGCCAGCACAACGCGTGAGTGGCGGGGTTCCTACGCACCCGCATCCGCAGCGACCCTCCCGGCCTGGCCACCCGGAGGGCAAGCGTCTCGGGTTCTCCCGTTACACAGGCCCCCCCACCCGGGCTTCTCCGGCTTCGTCCCGACTCCATCCTCACCGCGTCCTGCGCGCTTGGAAAGACCGCTGAACCCATCCTCTTCCCCCCATCCCCGCCGCCACTGTGCCCCGGGTGCCAGACACCTCCTTCCAGGTCTCCTGTTCACTGCAGCCTGCCTTCACAGCGGCCAGGGGAGTGTCCGAGATACGCCTCGAACAGCACCCGGTCTTAGTGTCCCCCAGCTTTGGGGGACCTGGGAGGCCTGGCCCTTCCCAGCCTGGCCCTCAGCCTCCTTCCTACCCCTCCAGCCACAGGGCCTCCGTCTGCACGTTGGGCCTAGGCACCAGCGTCCCCTGCACAGAGGTCTCCCCACCTGTGGACTTTCCCTCCACATGACCACTCTCTGCCGTCATCTGCTCCTTCACCCACTGGTGCTCTACCCCGCGGGGCTGCGGGCTCGCTGACGGCGGGCCCCTGTCACGCCCGCTGTCCCCAGTACCCAAAACAGAGCGCAGAGCGGGCGCTGCGTGACACCTGTCGAAGGGATGATGGATGGTGGCGCGCAGAACTTGTCCGGCCCTCAGGGCCCTGGACTATCAGGCCGGCTCTTTAGCCACTCCTCCCACGTCCCTCCAGCGCTTCAGCACAGGCAGGACGTGGCTGCGTCTGGCCTCGGCTCGGCGTGCCTTCCCTGCTCTGAGGTCCTCACCGCCCCTCAGGCCCTGGCTCGGGTGCCCCCCGCACAGGGACCGGCTGGAACCAGTGACCCCACAGCACCGACGGGCACTGAGCGAGTGCTGGGGTTGCTGGGAACACGTTGTGGTGCGGCTGGGGGGTCTCTGGGAGGCCCGGGTGGGGCCCAGCCTGGTCTCAGTAGACTTGGCCGGCTCTGAGCAGACAGAGGGGGCCCCACGGAGGGCTGACCTGCTTGCTTTCCCGGCCACAGCTCCCTGGAGTCCATCATGGGGCTGGAGCGCAGCGGTGACCTCTTCACCATCGCTGTCAACGGTGTCCTGTATCTGCAGGTGTGTGAGGACTGACTGGCGGGGGCACCACCTCAGTGCGGCACAGGGCGGCCAGCAGGGTGGGTGCTGGGGTGCCCAGACCACAGGCCCAGGAGAGGTTGGGGACACCCTGGTGCTCACTCTGGCCTGGGTCTCCATACCCCAAACCTCAAGCTCGTCCCCGTGGCCACTTGCCCCTGCAAACAGCTGCTCCGCTCTGCAGTCTCCAATCTTCAGACTCCTGAATGTCCCTTACCCAGCGTCATACTGAAGAGGGGTGAAGGAAGGCCAGCCACCCTGGCGGGAGCACAGGCTGCAGGGGTGGGGAAGGAGGGCGTTCCTACACAAACCCGTAGGGGGGATTTTGGCAGGTGGGAAGGAAACTGACATAAAGGTAGAATTTCCTGAAAAAGGAAAGCGCAGACATCTGAATGAGTAGCGTAACTACACCAGACAGTGCTCTGAGGTAGGGACTGTTACTGGTCCCCTTTTATGAGTAAGTGGACCGAACACAGAAAGGTTAAGTGACTTGCCCGGGGTCACACAGCTGTCACAGAGTTCGCTCTGGTTGCAGAGGAACTCAGAGGTCTCGTCCAGGGGGCTGCGACCCTATGCTTCCTGAACCACTGGGAATCTGGCTGATGCAGGCCCCGAAGCAGGGCTCCCCCCACCCCGAGTGCTGAGGCCAAGTGCCAGTCCCGCAGCACACGAGGTGGCCAGGCCTGGGGGCGGCGCTGCAGTCTGCACCCGGCCCTCAGCGGGGACACCTGCTTGATCTGCTGAGCAGCTGTGATTGAGCAGACTCGTCCCACGCACCCGGGACTGAGGGATCCTGTCTGTGTGGGCAGAGGGCCCGGCCTGGAGAAAGCACTAGAATACTTGTCAGAGGTGCTGGGCTGGAGTCTCCCACCTCTCCTGCGTGAAGCTGACTGGGCAGGGCAGGGGAGGGTGGTCAGCCTGAGGCCTCGCTGTTCCCTCACTCCCCCTGCAGCCCGGGCAGTACACTTCCGTCTTCCTGGACAACGCCAGCAGCTCCACCCTCACCGTGCGCAGTGGCTCGCACTTCAGTGCGGTGCTTCTCGGTGTGTGAGCGGCCACCGCGGACCCTATCCCACCGGACAGATGGACCAGGGGCTGGAGCCACCTCCTGGACAGTGTTGGAGCGGCCATGGCCACAGGCAGGAGGAAGCCTGCCCACATCACCGTACCCGCCAGCCACCGCAGTGCAGCCTGGGGTGACACGGAGCCAGGACCCCACTTCAGGGGGCGTCTTAAAGGCAGATAGATGCCCCTTGGGCAGTTATTCTGGAAGCTTCTGCCTGGTTCAGTGTGCCCAGATGCACTGCTTTCTTCCCCCCCCCCCCACCATGCCCTGGGGGTCCCCAGTTGCGGGCAGGCACCTCTCCTGCGGCCCAGCCTCTTCCCATCCTTCCTGGCTTTCCAGTGGACACAGAGCACCTGTGTGGAGGGAAGGCCGGCTCTGCCTTTCCCACCTCTGTTGCCATCTGGGGCCCATCCTCACCCTCCCCTCCCCAACTGTGCCTTCCACCTGCCCATGCCCCTCGGGGCACTGCTTGGCCTGCGGTGACCACAGGCCCCTGGGCACAGCAGCCTGGGGAGCAGAGGGGGCTGGGAAGGGGATGCCGGGTGGGCCACCAGTCTGGGTCTGGTGTCACTAGGGGCACGTGCAGGTCCAGTCCTAATGCAGTCACCCTGCAGACGGGCCTCAGCAAGTCCTTGAAAGGACACGGCCAGCTCCATCCCCTCCAGAGACTGAGGCCATCCCTGTCCCCTTGTAAGGGGAAGCTCTGACCCACTGCCAGGACTGTGTCCACCAGATGAGACAAGGAACATCTCCAGACGCGGCATGGCCCTGACCTGAACCGGAGCAGCAGAGGCTGTCCCCCAGACCAGCAGGCAGCTGTCCCACTCAGTGGACGAGGGAAGGAGAATGTGCCGGAACAGCTGGTCTGGGCGGGTCAAAGCCCAAGTCCACTACTTCTTGCACAGCGATGGGCACTTGGGGGCTGGTCCCAGGAGGCAGAGGGGTCAGCCTACTGGGGTGTGGCCTCCAAGGTGCTGAACTGCCCCAGGGCAGGGAGTGAAGGGAGAGGCAGCCTCAGCTCTCCTGTAGGGCCCTGACCAAGGGGAAGCAACCTTTCCTGAGGTCTCGCTGCCCCCCTTCCCCCTGCCCTGGCTCTGAGGGGCAGGTCACCCCAGGGCCTTCTGGGGCCATGCTGGTGTGGCAAAGTGACCAGAGAAAGGGCAGTGAGGTAACCAGGTGCCTGCGGCCAGGCCTGAAAGATGCCCAGAAGCTCCAAGCGCCCATCTCCACACCCCAGAATGCAGCATCTCCCTCCAAGCCAGGCCCCCCCACAGAGCGGCACACAGACTCCAACCAGCAGGCCCTCGGCGGGTTCCCAGTAGGCCTGACCCCCGCCCTACCAGGAAGCCCACTGGCCTGGGGCCTGCCCTCCCCCTGGCTCCCGATAAGGGTGGGTGGCCACACCCTTTCTGGATTTCACTTTGTATCCAGTGCGCACAGATACTTTAGGGAAGTTATCTTTTCCCCTTGAGACAGGCTACATATAATCTATTTTATTTCAACATAAGTATCTGTTACATAGCAGTTTATTGAAATATTTATTGCATAATGTTGCCAGATAGGCTGTATTTATGTAACCAGCTTTATGGGGTGGTGCAGGCACTTAGGAGCTGTTATGTGACAACAGACAGGAACAAGGGCCGACAGACCTTGAAGCCTCGGTGAACTGGGGAAAATGTCTGAGGCGGCAGAGTAAGATAAGACCCCTTACTCTTTTTGAGCCTTGAAAGGACCCTAAGGAGGGGTGGGGATGGACTCAGCGGGTGGGCTTCGGCACGCGCACCGACACCTGTTTGCTGTAGGAAGATACTGAATAAACTGTCAGGCACCCTGATCCGGAGGCTCCATCCTTTAGTGACGCCCAGGGTGCATGCACCAACACCTCTTCATCCCGTTTGTATTTACAGCCTCCACCCATACCCAGGGCTTTGCTCTGAGGGACTTGTGGCAGGGAATTAAATTCCCTAAGACACACATAACACTGTGTGTGTGTGTCATGCAGGAATCATGAAATTTCAAATCAGCTTCTTCCAATTTTTAGAATCACACATCATCCTGCGCTCCATAACTACAGGAATAACGACAATGCATTTTTCAGTCCTTGAGAAGTACCTTAGGGTTTGTTCCAGGCAGGCCGACCAGGCACTCTTTTGTCTCTGCTAACATCTTCCACACGAGGGCCCCCTCGAAGTGCCAATGCCAGATGACCTCAGCTCAGCACAGCCAACGGGGCACATGCTCCTAAAGGGGGGAGCTGAGTCACAGAGGCCGTGCTGAGAAGTCCCTCGCCCGTTCCAACAGCTCACACTCCAGGGACCCAGCTTTGTGATAACCTACCAAACCCAGTTCTCCAGAGTCCTCTGCCCAGCTCGCACCTGTCATCCGTGGGTTCAAAAGTACTCTGTGCTGTTAGTGAGAAGCTGGCAGGGGCATCCTACTCCACACAAGTGACCCAGTACCTCAGTCTCTTCCCTTGGACAAGCCTGGGCTCACGCCACAGAACTTTGTGGAACCTTACTTTCTTCCCGAAAACTGAGAGAAGCCACAGAAGTGCTAAGCGCTGGCCTCTAGTCCTAGTCTTGTCCAACAGTCAGAACCTCTTTCTCTTCCTGTAAAATGGGGTGGACACCACTCCCCCCAGGGTCGCTGTGAGGATGAAACAGCTCAGGCCAAGCACCCTGCACGCGACAGTACCACGCTAACAGCCACCTGGGACCATTCGGCGTGAGCTGACCAAGATGCCTGCCACGGTTCCAACGAGGGAAGACCCAGAGCATTTTCAAAAGGGTCAAGTGTTGCTCCAAGTGTAATAAGAGAACTCAGAAGATAGGAGAACAAAAAAAAAAACAAAAACAAAAAACCCTTTATTTACAAGCGTGGGAATCCCGCAGAAGTACACAAACACACACGTGCACACACACAGTGAACCTGGAGCGCCCCTCGCGTGCCGGCCCTCACTGCCCGATCCGCACCACCATGACCGTGACATTGTCGGCTGAGCCCCGCTGCACCGCCTTGCTGGCCAGCCGGTTGCAGGCCGCCTCATAGCGGGCGTCCACGGCGGGCTTCCCTTCCCGGGTCTGGATCTTCTCATCCTGCAGATAGGAGGGGCATGCCTGGCAGGGTGATCCCACAGCCAGCCCAGTCCTCTCCCGGGACCCTACCCCCAGGAACGGGAACTACCCACGGGCTCCCTCAGGGCAGGTGCTGCAACAAGGGCAGGAGGCCTCCCACAACCTGCCAGGTGACCACAGAGGGCCGGGGTCAGAGGGCCCCTACTGTTGTAAGCATGAAGGTGCAGAGGGGCTATCAGCACTCCCTCGGGACAGCTCTTACCTCAAGGCAGGACAAGATGAAGTTCACAGCTTCTTCTGGGGTGAAGACCTTGAAGAGACCATCACAGGCCAGCAGAATGAACCTACAACACAGGGCACAGAGAGGGGTCTGAGCAGCAGCAGAACAGCCCTGGTGATAAAGGTAGAGTAACACCTGTCCCCCTGCTCGGGGCTAAAAATGTTTTTAAACTAACTTAACTTCCAGGGGACAAAGATGAAAACTTCTAAAAATACTTGCAGGCAGACGTGCCATACATCAGAATCGGGAGAACCTTCCCCTCCCCGATTAACAGAAGTCTGGGGTGACGCAGACCGCAGGTGCTGCTGCTTGGACACACTCAAGGGCACGGAACAAAAACTCTGGGTGTTGTGCTAAGCGCACACTGGGCCTCCCCACCACAGGCCTTGGGCCATTTCCCGCAACACGGTGACAGGGAGGACCACCGCCCTTGCTGCTGTCTGAGAACTCACGGTTCCCCCCGCTCTCAGCACCCCGGCCCCTGGACTCCCAAGGGAGGCCTCAGCGACATGGTGGATTAGACGCGGCCGCTGTCCCCTCACCATCCCGTTCTTGCTGTGACACCCAGGTCTTTGCCCCTCTGACTGGGCACCAGTCGGCACCCCAGGACACAGGGCTGTGTGGAACCCAGCGGGGACAAGGCCGGTGAGTCAGGCCCTGAGCAGCTTGGCACACAGACGTGGGAGCACAACCCGACAAGTGCAGAGCTGGGACAGCACACGGACAGGGCCTGGTCTAGTCTGGGGTCTGGGGGACTTCCCAGGGCATCCTTTAGGAAACTGGGCGGCTGGTGGGGAACACGCCCAAGGCCAAGGCTGGTGGGGACATGGCACGCAGAAGCCTGGGGAGCAGGCAGAGGGTGCGAGGTGGGTCCTTCGTCCCCAGCACTGGGAGCCGTGACTCAGACCGCATTTGAGAAGGTCTTCTCAGCTGTCATCTGGCCAACAGACCCTTCCAGCTCCCCTATCAACTCAGTCCTGTGAGCCCCATTTTTCTGAGCTTTCCTCTTGTCTCTGGGTCTCCCTGGAGCCTCCCAGCTGCCTCCTCACAGCCCACTCAACTGGCTTCCCGTCTGCCAGGCCTGGGGCCTCGTCTTCTAGCAGCTTCCACCAGAGACTCAACTATGTAGCTTTTTCCTCCACCTCTCCTGGCTCTGCTGACAAACCCTCACGATCCTCCACCGCTCGTTACGTCAAACTCTTCAGCACGGGACGCAAAGGCCCCTGCCACCATCTCCCCACCACCGGTACCCGACTGGCCATGCTCCTGTCCCCTCGTGCCCATCAGGAAAGACCCTCTCCTTTCTCCCACAGGCCGAGCCCCCACACCGCAGCCTCTCAGAGCCCCCCAAGGTGACATGCGGGATTGGAAGGATGCATTTCCACATGGAGTCCCCTACGTGTGACCACACGAATGAGTCAAAATCACATCCTCTGATCTCTGCTCCGAAGGCACAGCACAGGCTAAGATCTGGCGACCCGCCCACCCCCAGCAAAGGTTTGTTACATGAACAGGAATCAGCACGAAGAGAAACGAGGCTGTGTAGGGAGACATGTGCACGCGTGCCTCTGGCAGGGGTTTACCTGTCATTGGGGGTCAGCTGGCAACGTCTGATATCAGGCACAGAAGTGACCCCACAGCGCTTGTACTGCCCGTCCCCGATGGAACGGGACACCTCCAGCACACCCAAGACGCGCCCGTCCCTAAAACAAGGAGAAAACGCTCAGCCTCCATCTGGTAGACCGTGTCCGCAGCACTGAGAATCGGGTCCTAAGGCAGAGAGTGGGATAAGGGGAAGGTGGGCCAATGGAGCCGCCCCTTCCTGCTCTTTCCAGGAGAGGCCTGAGGCTTGTGCCGTCTGCTCAGCCTGCCGCGCGACAACACTGCCGCCCACCCGGGACCTTGTGGACAGAGCAGCGCCCCTATGATGCCAGCAGTGGTTCCCATCACTGGAGGGCAAATGCTGGTGCCCAGGCCGCCACCCCAAAGATGTGGGCCTGGGGTAGAGCCTAGCAACGCTTTCTGCCGTGTGTTTTTTCATCTTGAAGCAACTCAGGTGATTCAAGCAGGCAGCCAGGGTTAAGAACGGCTGCAACAGAAAATGTCTGCACTGCAATCTCAGGCGATCTGGACGAGACCTGGGAGTGACCAGTCCCAGATCCTCCGAAGCATTTTCTTTACATCAGGTGTGGGTGTGACTTGACTTGAACGATAGGATTCTAATAGCTTAGTGATCCTAATGCCTCATGCAGCCTCCCATCATAAACCAGTGACCCTGATGCCTGGTGCACCCCACCCTGATCATAAACCAGTGACCCTAACACCTGATGCACCCCACCATCATAAACCAGTGACCCTAATGCCTGGTGCACCCCCCATCATAAACCAGTGACCCTAATGCCTGGTGCACCCCCCTTATGATAAATCAGTGACCCTAATGCCTGGTACACGCCCCCCAACATAAACCAGTGACCCTGATGCCTGGTGCACCCCACCCTGGTCATAAACCAGTGATCCTAATGCCTGGTGCACCCCCCCAACATAAACCAGTCTGGCATGCAGGTCAGAGGCAGCGACAGTCTGCAACACAAGCCCCAGGAAACCCGGTCAACACCACCACAGCTCAGCACAGAGAACTTGGTGGTGGAGAAAAACGGGACCCCGTGGAATCGGGCATCTTCATTCTTGTTCACTCGAGTCCTACACGCGGTAAACTAACGCAGGAACAGAGACACTGGACCCAACTATTAAGCCAGGAAAAGGACTGACTTCAGAAAAGGTCGTGGTGATGACAGTGCACTGGCCTGCACTCTGCCCGCACCCCTTGCACCCTCCTACCTGGGGCTGGGTGCCAATCAGCGCACCCTCCTACCTGGGACTGGGTGCCAGTCAGCGTACCCTCCTACCTGGGGCTGGGTGCCAGTCAGCATACCCTCCTACCTGGGGCTGGGTGCCCGTTAGCCGACAGAGGCAAGTCAGAGCTTCCAGCTCCAGGATGAGCACCGTGTAAGCGTCAAGCTACACCTTGTGAACTTTCAGTACAAGCCTAGTCAGTAGTCAGCCACAGCAGACCCGCAGACATTACACTTCCTGACCCACTTCCGCCCTCCATACCTGCATCTCCCCCCGGGCACACTACACACCTGGACGGGGTCCCGGCCCGCTTCCGCCCTCCATACCTGCATCTTCCCCAGGCACACTGCATACCTGGCCAGGTTCCCGCCCGCTTCTGCCATCCTCACTTGCATCTCCCCCAGGCACACTGCACACCTGGCCAGGTTCCCGCCCGCTTCTGCCATCCTCACTTGCATCTCCCCCAGGCACACTGCACACCTGGCCAGGTTCCAGCACGGCTGCGAGACGCTGGACACCGCAGACAGCAGTATGTCTGGCAGCATCTCCTCCCCAGCAAACTGCTAAACGCTCACTCTCCTCTCCCTTCCCCGGACGACAGCCTCTCAGCCCACCAGGCCAGCTCACCCTGCTCCTGAGTCCCCGCGTCAGTGGGGCCTGTGTCCCGCCCTGAGGCACTTCAGCCTTTGCCTCCCACAGCTTTTTTCTCTTGCTTTCTCTCCGCCAATCTATCAGAGAACTGCTTTCCTATTGGTGGGTATACCACCCAACAGAGTCCTCAGACCTCCCTGGCTATTTCCGCTGCAATTCCTGTCCCAGTTCTTTCCTCACACTGACAGAGAGAGAGGTGCTGGGGCTCCTGCTGTGACTAGGCTCCCCGACATGTGAGCAACAGCAGGGAAGGTCAGATTCGGGAAACACACATCGGCACAACAAAGGCGGGAGGTGGGACTCCGTCTTCTGACCGTCCGAAGAGCAGCAGATGCTCAGGTCCCGAGTTTTAACGTGACAAGCGCTAGAGAGATAACCAGAGGTAGATTCCAGAACTTCTTCTAGTTGTCAGAGACAGCTGTACCTGAGCAGGTCCTGGGCACACGGCACAGCCATGTTTAGATCTAAACGCCCCTGTGCAAGCGCCCGGCGGCCAGCCAGGTGCCTTCCCTGTGACACAAAACCAGACTGTCCTCGCTGTCACGAGGAGCTTGTCCGTGATGCTTTTTTTTGGACTTGTCTTAGGTCAATTTATTTTGGAGGGGAGGGAGGGGGAGGAGTGGCGCTTTGCCACAGATTGAACATAAAAAGAGGAGTAATTCTATAATTGGGTAGAAGGTAAATGAATTTTATCTGTTGAAAGCGCAGACTAAAACAAGTCTAATGCTGTCACTGGTAAAGAAGCAGTAACTACGCATATTTGCTAGGATATATGTTTGATCACTTTGTGTCTTGAACAATGTTCATGTTTTGTCTGTGCTTAAACATGATTACGGAGTGGTCTTGATTCATCATGGTCACAGAACGGCCTTGTCTAATGTTGACATTCTGTGAAATTGTTTATGTTTAACAGGAGAACACAAGACTTAGCTGTGAGTGCCATACACGCTCATGTCAACACCAGGACCTAGCTAACAGTACTTCACCAGGTCCTGCACGTTAAGGCTCCTTTTTTCTATCCCAGTTCGAAAAAACCTTTGACAAGGTGTCCTCAAGAAGAAAAAGAGAAACAAAAATCATTTTCAATGCTATTTGAGACAATATAACAAGTTAGAAGTATTAAACTAATTCTATGCAAAGCTATTTAATAATTTAAACATTCTAAGAAGTAATTAAAAATGTGTAATTTTAATGGACATGAACTAACAACACTAACTAAAATTTTAGCCTCAATTGATTTAACCAGAAGTGGACAGGACTCATAAGATAATCTTCTCTGTAAATTTGGAGTTTACATGAGTAAGAGTTTCAGCCCTGCCACGTGTTTTTTTTTTTTTTTTAATTGTTGTAATTACACGAAGTTTACATTTCAAGTTAGTCTCCCATACAGAATTTTTTTTTTTTTACATAAATTGTTATGAGACCCCAACCGCTCACCCCATTCTGTGACAGCACATTCCTCCCCTCCGCCCCTGATTCCCCATGAACATTCAACCAGCTCCTAACACTCTCTGCCTTCCCGTCTCACCTCTGGACAGAAGCCGCCCCTTTGGTCTCTTATATCTACTCGTCTAAGAGGCACATTCTTCACGAGTATGTGATGCTCTGAGGACAACTGCCAACATGGCTTCTTACTTAGACTTTTCACCAGGGGAATATTTAATGAGGGGAGGGGGGACACCCTAAAACGGAAAACACACGGCGACGAACGACCCCGTCACCAGCGAGGTGACACACCCACGGTGAACACGCCTGCTCACCCTGTGCACAGTTCTGTCCATCTGCAGTGAGGTGATCTCAAGACAGAGCGACTGCAAGACTCCTAGGCGCCATCAACAGTGCTCATTTTGATACTATGACTTCGAAGCTGTTTTGGAAAATAAGTATGGTAATGTGATTTATTAAGAAGATTCTCACTGTTAAAAGAGCTGCGAATATTAAGTCAGAAGTCCCCTGGGTGGTACAATTGATTAAACACTCAGGTGCTGACTGAAGGTTGGAGGTTCAAGCCTGCCTACAGGCACCTCAGAAGAAAGGCCTGGCAACCTGCGTCTGAAAAACCAGCCACTGAAAACCTTACGGAGCACAGTTCTACTCTGACACACGTGGGGATTGTCGTGAGTCGGACCTAACTCGACAACTGGTAAAGAAGAGAAAACCCTGTAATGTTAACTCTGAAGAGGAACCGCAATTGCCTGATGCTCATGATCTACAATGTGTGTGTGTGTCCTAGCTCCGTCCCTGAGCTGGCTGACAATCAAGGACACCCCCGTGGAAGTGGGCACCCCAGCATACGGCCCTCAGCTTTCAGAGGTGAACACAGATGTGCAGTGGACACAGGAGGCAGCTGACGGAGCCCCCACTGGCCACACCCAGGGCGAGGTGAGCAGCGAAAGGCCACCACGATGCCATGTTCCCAGGGAGTCACAGGGCAGGGCCTGGGGGAAGGGGACAGGAGAGTGAAAGAAAACACTACTTTCCCCAACTGCCGGCGACTGTTCTACCTTGCAAATTGGTAATTAGAGGAAGGAATGGCACTCGCCCTGCCTTCCTAGAAGGCGAGGGATGAGAGAGCCCTTCTTTACAGAATGCCGGCCAACAGCTGTGGAGGCAATCACTGCATTAGAAAACCGCCCTTGGCCATCCCCGCGATAACTGACTGCAGCAAGGTCGTCCTGTGATGTCAACACCAGCACGTGAAAGGGTGATGGGAAACACAATCCCACCAGGTACCGAGTGTTCACGACCCCATGAGGTACTTGCTGAGAGAGAAACGGGACTTCTGCTCTGGAGAGACCTGGCTGTTGTCACCGCAGCAAGCGACGGATTCAGCGTCATCAAGGACAGTGCTGGCTACTGAAGTGACGGGCTATCAAATACACAGCATCCACGCAAAATATGCTTCCGAAAAACGTTTAATCTGAATCTAAAGAAGCCTTCAGACCTAACTTCCAGTTTACAGGAAATACATGGAAAGAGAAACAACATAAATGAAACCATGAACAGACAGGCAAAGCCGGAATTCCGGAACGTAGAAGCTCCTACCCAACAGCTGCAGACTATGAAAACGGTCAGAGGCTAGACAAACATGGACAAAGGTGTAAAAGCAAATAGAAATTGCAAATGCTGACCGAAACAAAGACTCTGGGGACACCAGGGAAGACAGCGATATAGACGGGTTACAGAGAACCTAATACACCCTAAGGAATTCCTCTTTTCCTAGGTGAGACCATGGTGGTTGGTTATGTGAGAATGTCCTTCTCGTCAGGAGATGCCTGCTTCCACGTAGAGGGCAACATGTCATGTCCGCGTCCGTGTGGAGGGTGACATGTCAAGCTCGTGTCCATGTGGAGGGCGACATGGCATGTCTCTGTCCGTGTGGAGGGCAACATGCCACGCCCGCATCCATGTGGAGGGTGACATGCCACGCCCACGTCCGTGTGGGGGGGCGACATGTCACGTCCCTGTCCGTGTCGGGGGCGACATGTCACGTCCGCGCTAACTTTTGGAGCCCATACTGATACACGCACATGGATGGCAAATGTGGCAAAAGGTTTCACTGCTCAACCTAGGTGGCAGATACTGAAATGTATTACTATTTTAAAATTCTCTCTGTAGGTGTGGAAATTTTAATAAAAAAGCGAGAGGAAGAGAAAAGGAAAGCTGGTCTGAGCTGCACTCATCACTGACAGAGGGGCTCACCCATACTCCCATCAAATGGTACCTGTACACATCTCAGCACTGCTCTTCATGGGGAGGGAGCTGGGAAACAAGTAACTGCCACACAGCTGACCCTGCCTACAGCCATGCTGTTGTCAGGTGCTGTTCAGTCTGTTCCGACTCACAGCGACCCCATGTACAACAGAACGAAACACTGCCCAGTCCTGCGCCATCCTCACAATCGTTGTTATGCTTGAGCCCACTGTTGCAGCCACTGTGTCAGTCCATCTCGTTGAGGGTCTTCCTCCTTTTTGCTGACCCTGTACTTTACCAAGCATGATGTCCTTCTCCAGGGACAGGTCCCTCCTGATGACATGTCCAAAATATGTGAGACGTAGTCTCTCTATCCTTGCTTCTAAGGAGCACTCTGGCTGAACTTCTTCCAAGACAGATTTGTTCATTCTCTTGGCAGTCCATGGTATATTCAATATTCTTAACCAACACCACAATTCAAAGGCATCATTTCTTCTTCGGGGTCTTCCTTACTCATCGTCCAGCCTTCACATGCATACGAGGCGACTGAAAACATCATGGCTTGGGTCAGGGGCACCTTAGTCCTTAAACTGACATCTTTGCTTTTTAACACTTTAAAGAGGTCCTTTGCAGCAGATTTGCTCAATAAAATGCGTCATTTGATTTCCTGACTGCTGCTTTCATGGCTGTCGACTGTGGATCCAAGCAACTAAGATAAAATCCTTGACAACTTCAATCTTTTCTGTTTATCATGATGTTGCCTACTGGTCCAGTTGTGAGGATTGTTTTATGTTGAGGTGTAATCCATACTGAAGGCTGTGGTCTTTGATCTTCATCAGTAAGTGCTTCAAGTCCTCTTCACTTTCAGCAAGCAAGGTTGTGTCATCTGCATAATGCAGGTTGTTAATGAGTCTTCCTCCAATCCCGATGCCTCATTTTTCTTTATATAATCCAGCTTCTTGAATTATTTGCTCAGCATACAAAATGAATAAGTATGGTGAAAGGATACAACCCTCATGCACGCTTTTCTTGACTTTAAACCATGCAGTATCCCCTTAACTTTATGTCCTCTTCTGAATCCAGCTTGGATTTCTGGCAGTTCCCTTCCGATGTACGGCTGTGACTGCTTTTGAATGATCTTCAGCAAAATTTTACTTGCATGTGCTATTTAATGATATTGCTCGATAATTTCTGCATTCTGTTGGATCACCTTTCTTTGGAATGGGTACAAATATGGATCTCTTACAGTCGGTTGGCCAGGTAGCCGTATTCCAAATTTTCTTGGCATAGACAAGTGAGCACTTCCAGCACTGCATCTGTTTGTTGAAACATCTCAGCTGATATTCTGTCAGTTCCTGGAGCCTTGTTTTTCGCCAATGCCTTCAGTGCAGCTTGGACTTCTTCCTTCAGTACCATCGGTTCTTGATCGTATCTTACCCCCTGAAATGGCTGAATGTCAACCAATTCTTTTTGGTACAGTGACTGTATTCCTACCACCTTCTTTTGATGCTTCATGCGTTGTTTAGTATTTTCCCTGTAGAATCCTTCAATATTCCAACTTGAGGCTTGAATTTCTTCTTCAGCTCTTTCAGCTTGAGAAATGCCGAGCGTGTTCTTCCCTTTTGGTTTTGTATCTCCAGGTCTTTGCACATTTCATTATAATACTTTGTCATCTCGAGCTTCCCTTTGAAATCTTCTGTTTAGCTCTTTTACTTCATCATTTCCTCCTTTTGTTTTAGTCACTCTACATTCAAGAGCAACTTTCAGAGTCCCTTCTGACATCCATTTTGGTCTTTTCTTTCTTTCCCGTCTTTTTAATGACCTCTTTTCTTCATGTATGATGTCCTTGATGCCATTCTACAACTCTCCTGGTCTTCGGTCATTAGTGTTCAATACATCAAATCTATTTTTGAGACGTTCTCGAAATTCAGGCTGTACTTTGGCTCTTGTGGATTTGTTCTAATTTTCTTCATCTTCAACTTGCTAATGAACAGCTGATGGTCTGTTCCACAGTCAGCCCCGGTCTTGTTCTGACCGATACTGAGTTTCTCCATCATCTCTTTCTACAAATGTAGTCAATTTGATTCCTGTGTATCCCATCTGGTGAGGTCCACATGTACAGTCACTGTTCATGTTGTTGAAAAAAGGTATTTGCAATGAAGAACTCATTGATTGGTCTGGCAAAAGTCTTATTCAGGTGATCTCCGGCATTGTTTCTATCACCAAGCAAGCCCATATTTTCCAATTACCCATCCTTCCTATGGCCACAGGACTGGCAATGTCAAATTCTCTTCAAGGAGTTCAGGAAAAAACAAACTCTAAAGTGGTAAGAAAAAGCAGGAAAGGGATGAATGGCACTGATGTTAGGGTGACATGCTCAGCACTGACCTCCACAGTGCTGAGCACAGTGCTCATGGTGGCAAAAACTGGGCCAAGAGCGCTGTCCACGGTCTGAAACCAAGCCTACAATGCCATCACTCCTTGTGCAGACAGCCTTGGCGGGGACCGAATTCGCCCCTTACTCAATCAAGAGCTTTGACTGAACTCTACACCCCATGAGTTCTGACTGCTCTCCAGAGATCTCACTCACCGCTGGCTCCAATAAGCCTGAAGCAACAGCAGAGACTTCTCCAGTGAACTACAGAAGAGAAGCTACACTCGACGGACCAATAACTGCAGCCTCACATTCACATTACTTCTCTCATCTCCAGCCAAAAGTAAAAATCCTAATGGTCAAAGTATAAAATGAACCAGAAAAATACTTTTGATCAAATGGCAACACAATGCCCCTGAAGTGGAATTCTCCTCAAGTCTAGAAAGACTTAAAGCCCTACTTTAGCTACCTTGGGGCCCTAGTGGAACAGTAGTTAAGCATTTGGCTGCTAACCAAAAGGTCGGCGGTTCCAGTCTACCAGCGGCTCCTTGGAAACCCTATGGGGCAGTTCAACTCTGTCCTGTAGGTTTGCTATGAGTTGGAATTGACTCGATGGAAACAAGTTTGGTGGTGTATTTTTTTTTTTTTTAGCTACCTTAGACAGACGGCAGATGCTAACCCAGAGAAGGCACACGGTCATCAAAGACAAAGAATCACTGAAGACAGCCCCAGTTAGACATGGCCTCTGAGCCAGGGCAGCTGTCCCCCAGGGGCCCAGAGACAGTCAGCACACACCACCGATACTCACTGCCTTAACCATTTCATATTCTCTCAGGAGAATTCTCCCCAAAATGTGGCTTATTTAGTTGTGATAAATGAAAAGTGTTTATGAAAGTTCCTAGGCACAGAGAAAATGCTGCAAATGGTGAACCTGGAATTGAGACAGGTTTTATCCCTTTCACATGATGGGGGCCCGTCCCTTGTACAAATGTTGCACTATCTGGACCGATGTGAACACACCCATCCCAGTGCTGCCCTCAGGCTGAGTGTCATTACCCTTGAGTGGATGCTGGGAGCCCTCCTTCCCCGAGCATGGGCCGTTACCTGACGTTCCCTCCAGCTTTCTGTATCCGCATCCGCTCCTCATACTGGGTGGGATTGTGCTCTTTGCTGAGGCTCAGGGCTGCATGTTTCTGACTCTCCTCATTGTAGCGGCACAGGATGGCCTGGGGAGGGCGAGAGCACACAGACTCGTGAATTCAGTGAGCCTGACACCTGGAGTCACCAGCTGAAGAGAAAGGTTACTGTGGAGTTTCAGGTTCAGCCTCCTGCTGATGAACCCACAGCAAACAAAAATACACTCAGAGGCCCAAGCATAAAGCAGGGCAAACAGCAAGGTGGGTTGTGGAAACCCAACAGGGAGAGAAGTCCTGGGTCTCAGTCTTGATCTGGCACAAACTTTGCTGGATGACCACAGCCAACCGCTCACCCCCCTCTGGGCTGTGGCCCCCTCGTCTGTGAAGTGAAAAGGAGGCTCTTTTGGCAGTGCCCCTCGAGTCTACACGAGGCAAAGACAAGGGTGAGCACTGATGCACGGACAAGGGTCACCACATGCTCACCACTGTGAGGTAGGTTCACTGTGTCTACCTCACAAAGGAGGAAGCTGAGATAGGTTCACTGTGTCTGCCTCAGAGGAGGAAGCTGAGGTAGGTTCACTGTGTCTG